TCCTCGCTCTGACCCCGCTGGCCAAGCTGCCCCCCCTCGTTCCAGCCCTTCCTGGGCAACGCTCAGTGGGCGGCGAGAAACGGGGGTGGAAGGAGGGTGACCTCTCCGGGCCCTCCTGGGCCCCTATCGTGGCCCCGAAGGGCTCCTTTCCGCCGCCCCTGCCCTTGCTGCCCCCCACTCAACGCCCCCCCCAATTGCGCGTCCTCCGAGCCCTCCTGCCACATCTGCCGCCAGAGACAGCCTCGGCCTGGCCTTCCCCACATTGCGGCTGGTGCCATCCACGCCCCCTTGATCCATGTTTGCGATCGCCTGAATTTATCGCCCCCCCAGTACGCGTCCTCCGAGCCCTCCTGCCACATCCGCCGACGGAGACAGCAACGGCCTGCGCATCCCTCCCCACTCTCGCCGCCTAGCTCCCCCCCTCGGCCTCCTCCCTGCACGCAGAAGGCCCCCCGCCCTGCCTCCCTTGCGCACCCCCCCTCCCCCCCGCGGGCTACGGCGCGGACTGCCCACCCCGTGCCTTCAAAGGGCACATGGACATATAGGAAAAGACATGGAAAGAGACATCGAGCTACTGTTGCTTCACTCATATTTCGGAGATGGACAGACCTCCCTTTAGTAAAACGTGGTTTAGTGAAAACGACCTGAGGCCCAAACCTGGCGGACGCAAGACTGGAAAATAACGGCCGCGGCGCCCTCTCGAGAACCGAAAACGGACAATTCACTAATCGACGTGTCACTGTTAGGAGGTCTGTCCACCCCCGAATATTCATTTATGCATATGTACATGACTATAGAACTTCATAGCGATAAAGGGTACCGATGTGGTGCAAACGTGACATCACTCGGCTACTTGGTGCTTCTTCCCCAGCTAACTCTCCAAATATCCGACGATCTGTTTTTGTTGCAGAATGTGCGGCCGCAGAGCTCCCGGCCGCTTCTCTAGGCGTGCTTCTCTTCGTCCCAGATCGATGATTGGTGGCATCGGGGCCGAAACCTGGGCAAAACGCCCAGATTCAAACAACTATATAATCGGAACTCTGGGGCCACTTCTGGTACCCCTAAGTTGGGGTGCGTTCCCACACCCCCGACATCATGATTTGTTCATAGCGTCGACACCCCAGAAGTCTCGACCCATTCCCCAAGATCAGTTACTCATCCTGCATACTTGTTTGATGGTCCTGGATCCTGGGAAGGGCTCCCAGAAGCCAAACACAGCGGAAAACCTTCCGTCATGTTTTTTGTTGCCACGGCTCGAAAAGTTGTGGCTCCAGGGTACAATATGTGCAGCATCATATCGGGGCACCCCCTCCCGCAGGAGGCCTGGCACGGGCTGGGCCCCCGTTTCCATCATGGCCAGTGGCTCGATCCCCCGGCGCGCCACCAGAGCCCACGACAAGGAGGCGAGGAAAAAGATGCCGTTCGACGCCCGCGTTCGATGACAGATGCAGCAGGCCCCATTCGACGCCCGCGACACGATGGGAAGATCCCGTGGGCGACCAACCCCCGCGGCAAGGATGCGCGGCAAGATGGAAGCTCATGGCAATGGCCGATGGAGCTAAAACAATAGCAATGGCACGCCGCCGTCGGTACGCATCAGAGTGTTTACGGACGAACCCCAAAGACAAGCATCAGGTCGTGCGTACAGCGGTTTTTGGACGAAAGCAGACAATAGCCAAAAACAGATCCAAAACGAACCAGACAATAAAAGAGAAAACGTCCATTCTTCTTGTTTTGCGAATATTAGATTCCCCCTGTAGAGGGACATGCCCGACTTAAGACTAACACGCTCACGGGCTCCCGGCGGCGGGGTGTCGTTGATGCTCCCGTCCTCCCGAGCGAGACGCCCTGGCCAGCGGTACAGTGCACTGGCGCTGCAGCAGAGCAGGCCTCCCCCCCCGAATGATGTGCTGGAGTGGAACAGGACCTTCTCCTGGTCCTCCTGCTCCTCCTCCTCCTCCTCCTCCTCCTCGTCCTCCTCCCTCTCCTCCTCCTCCTCCTCCTCCGCCTCCTCCTCCTCCTCCTCCTCCTCCTCGTCCTCCTCCTCGTCCTCCTCCTCCTCCTCCCTCTCCTCCTCCTCCTCCTCCTCCTCCTCCTACGATGACCATGGCCGAGGCTGAACGTGGAAACTTCAGGGTCGACCTTTGGCCACCGTCCATCTTGGCTATAGATTGTCCACTCGTGGATCATCCTGGCGAATCGGCGACGGCTCGCATACCATGGCCAAGATCGGGGTCGACGAGATCCAACGACATCGTGGTCATGGTCGTCGTGCTCCTTCCCTCGACATCCCGCCCTCCTCTTCCTCCTCCTCGCTCCTCGCTCCTCCTCGCTCCTCCTCGCTCCTCCTCGCTCCTCCTTGCTCCTCCTCGCTTGGTCATCGTCGTCGTGCTTCGTTCCTCCTCCTCCTCCATGTGCTACCCGTGCCTCCTCCGCCCCCCTCTGCCGCGCAAGCCGCCTCGGCGCCGGCGCAAAAGCCACGGGCGCCACGGCCACCGGCGCCGCCATCTCGGCCGCGCCGCGGCCGGTCTGGTCGGCCCAGCGATCGGACGGGGGAGGGACCGGGGATTATCCACAAGTAAACATGGGGAAAGAAGGGCCTTCCCCAAAACCTGATCTTCATCCCGAATCGTTTTCCAACAGTTCCGGGGCCCGTGGAGGGCCCGGGGTCGCCAGAAACGGCAAAACACATCAGAACCTCTTCCTCCTCCTCCTCCTCCTCCTCCTCCTCCTCCTCCACCTCCTCCTCCTCCTGCTGCTCCTCATCCTCCTCCTCCTTCTCCTCGTCCTCCTCCTCGTCCTCCTGAAGACCCGTTCCCTCCATGGCGACGAAGGCGGGGCATGGCTCGCCAGCCGCCGCCCGCAGGGTCCAGGGGGCTCGCCCAGCTGGTCGCGTGGCAGGGATGATCTGGCGGTGCGTAGTTGGGGGGGCGATCCTCGAACCCCTTGGCTCATGAGAAAATCCCGACGGGCTTCGTGTTTCCTATTTTCTGCATCGGGGGGCATCGGGGGGCCCTCAGTGGGCCTCGGCGCCGTCAAAAAACGACTCAGGGAACGAGTCGGGACCTCTGGGGGTCGACGGCATGAAAAACTCATGACGTCGGGGGCCTGGGTTACGGTGAGCGCATTGGATAAGGAGGAACTATTGGTAAAGAATGCAGGGTCTGGAAGGAACCATTGGACAAGGAATTGCATCAAGAACCATTTGATAATGAAACGTCGGATAAAGAACTGGCACAACCCCCCTCAATCGTGGCTTAGCCATGGATATAACTGCCCACTGCCGCCCTGATCACAAAAGGAATCACCCGGGGTCTGAAGCCTCCTGAGCACAGTCTCTTGAACAGCGCTCCCAGCGTAGGCACTGTCTAAGGTGGGGGAACCTGCATCGCTGATAGATCGGCGGTGGGCCCGGGGGAGCCAGAAACGGCGAAACACCTCAGAGCATCCTCCAACTCCTCCACCTCCTCCTCCTCCTCCTCCTCGTCCTCCTCAAGACCCGTTTTCTCCATGGCGACGAAGGAGGGGCCCGGCTCGCCCCCCGACTTCAAAGGAGGAGGAGGAGGAAGAGGAGGAGGAGCGGCAGAAATTCGGAGCAGCGGCCAGATCCACAGAATGGAATCCCTCTGTTCCCCGATTGACTTGCAATGGGGACCAACTAGAATCTAACATCTAGCCGCCAGCAACTGGCAAAACCAATGAACTACTCGTGAAAGGTACGAGTCCTTTAGAGCAATTGCAGCACACAATGCCCTGGCATACGGTTGATTGAAATTATGACAGTAGCAGGAACACGACTGGTAAGAATGACCTTATGGCTGTGGTAATGGCAGTAGTCGTGGTGGTCGAGGTGGTCATATAAACAATCGCATACGCCGACGAACGAACTACTTGTAGTAAGAGAATAACGAAGAGCGGCAACATCAAATTACCCATTATGATTGTACCAAAATGTGAGAAAACGAATTACGGGTACAACTGGTGATTGACTAATCGAAGTAAACCGTAAAACAAGTGAAGAGGACATACGGCAGGAAGAAAATGGTGAGACGGATAAAAAAAAACGAGGAAGAAGGTAATATGGTCAGCCCGAGTCGCTCCTTCTCGGACGACGGCGGTGACGGTAATGTCGACGACGACGCCGACGCCGACGACGCCAGAAACGCTGGCGACTACGACGACGACGCCGTTAGCGCTGACGAAGCCCACGACGACGCAGCAGACAACGGCGCTGACGAAGGCGACCACACCGACGGCGGGGACGGGGACGACGGCGACGACGGCGCCGCGGCTGGCGACCACGGCGGCGGCGAAGACGACGACGGCGCTGCCGACGCCGACGAGGAAACCGCGCCGCCGAGCACGCCGTCCGCTCGACGGCGTCGTGGTGCCGCCGCCGCCGCCGACGAGGCCCCCGAGGCCGCGGCCACGGCCCCGGCGGACACGGCGCTGCCGCGGAACGCAGCACTCATCAGCTGCACGCTGGCGGCCAGGTCGGGCCGGTCGCCGTGCTTGGGCGTGGAGAGGCCAGCCGTGCTCCAGCGGCCGCCAGCCCCTCGGACGGAAGGCTCGCCGTCGCTCGGCGTCGGCGCCGTCGGCGGGGTCGTCGGCGTCGTCGTCGAGCGGCGTCGTCGGCCTCAGCGCCGGCGTCGCCGCCGCCGTGCAGCATAACCACACTGTCGGGCCAGCGACAGAAGAACATCCCTCAATCGAGCACACGAGACCCTCCGCCGGCCCAAACTGAAGAGCATTCGAGGGCACCCTCCCCCAGGATGCACAAGAGCACTCATTCGACACGAAGAGCATTAGGGCACCCTCCCCAAACAGACCTCGGAGCTCCGGGCGGAGACCGGCGGCGGACGCCCCACCCCTAGCACGCGGAGCGCGCCACGGGCGGCTCGGAATTCATCCAAAGGGGGGTGGACCTTGAGGGGGGCATGAGTTCGATCCGCTGGTGCACCGAACTGCCGCAAACAGATGCCCCCCCGCATGCCCCACCTGTCGGCAACTATGGGGAAGTGCATGCGGCTGGGAGGCATCTGCTTTGGGTGGTTCGGTGCAAAAAACAATCGAAATCCCCCCCCTCTGGGGGCACACACACACACCTTCGCGGGATCCCGTGCGGCGCCCGAGGTGCCAGCAAGGAAGGGGGGTGGCCGGTCCGGAACAAAGAGATTCGCGCGGACCTCCCCGAGGTTGGCCCCGTATCTCCACGTTGGCCAACGAACGCGCCAAAAGAGAGCGCGACGTGCTACGAAACAGGCGCCCGCTTCTGCGCGGGGGCACGGCTTCCTCGTCAACCTCGACGTGCGGGGGAACGGGGGGCGAGCCCTGTCGTCTCGTCGCCGATGCCTGAGGTGGGCGTCTATTCCGCAGACGACGGCAGCGACGTCGTCGCCGCGGCGTCGAGCGGCGGCGTCGAGCGGCGGCGTCGAGCGGCGGCGGGGAGCGGCAGCGCAGGACGGCGGCGTGGGCGAGCGGCGGCGTGGGAGCAGGGCGGGGAGCGCGCGGCGGAGGCGATGGGTGCGGCGGCAGAGGCCGGCCAGAGGCGGCGGGTCCGGCGCGCGGAGAGGAAGCATGGAGCACGCCTTGGCCTGCCTCCTCCTCCTGCTGCTCCTCCTCCTCCTCCTCCTTCCCTCCTCTTGCTCCTCCTTCCCTCCTCCTCCTCCTCCTCCTCCTCCTCCCTCCTCCTCCTTTTCCTCCTCCTCCTCCTCCTCGTCCTCCTCGTCCTCCTCCTTCCCTCCTTTTGCTCCTCCTTCCCTCCTCTTCCTCTTCCTCCTCCTCCTCCTCGTCCTCTTCCTCCTCCTCCTCCTCCTCCTCCTCCTCCTCCTCCTCCTCCTCCGCCAGGAGTGCGCAGAACGCGGGCACGACCAAGTTGCACCCGAGCGTGAAGCACGCCTGGAACGGGACCACCCCGTGTGGAAGGGCCCAGGGATGCGACAGCAAAGCCTGGCCCTCTCGCCCCCGTCGGCAGCAGCAGCATCGCCGACAACGGCAACCTCGCAGCAGCAACCACCATCTCACTGTTTTACTCTAGAAGGCCGATGTGACTTCCATGCGGTTCCTCCTCTCCCTCGCACCCGACCTCTATACACGTCGGGCGGAAAAAAAAACATTATAGCCGGAGTGCAGTATCCCCAAACAGGGTTTTTAAACCCACTGCAGCTTCCAAGGTCGATTGCGTGCCCGTCCAGTGCGGGCTGGCATGGCATGTTAGAACATGATAGCATGATGTTTGCACATGAGATGTTTACACGAACACTTGTGTGACGCATGCCTATCGTGACGTCGGATGTCTGGGGAGAGCGGAAGGCAGGGCGCGCATGACGGATGCTGAGGCGGCAGAAACGACGACGGCGGGGGGGAGGCAGAGGCGCAGCAGCGGGAAGCGGGAGGCGGGAGGCGGGAGGAGGGAAGAGGAGCCAGGCGGGAAGCGGGAAGAGGGAGGCGGGAGAAGGAATGAGAGAGGTTGTGATTGGAGCCCCTGTGCTACGAAACGTCTCAGGCAGAACGGGCCAGACCATCTCGCGCGCAACATCTTCGAGCTTCGCATTGTGGGGATGGCTCAAGCGAAACGGGCCGGACCACCTCGCGAGCGACATCTTGGAGCTCAGTATTGGAAGAATGTCTCAAACGAAACGGGCCGGACAACCTCTCGCACACGTTCTGACAGGTCCACGTCACACTCGCTTCCCGTTAGGTCCCCTCCTGCAACTCCTTTCCCTCTCCCTCCTCCTCCTCCTCCTCCTCCTCCTCCTCCTCCTCCTCCTCCTCCTCCTGCCTGCTCCCTCATCCACATCCTCCTCCTCCTTCTCCCTTCCATCTCCTGCTCCTTCTCCTCCTCCTCCTCCTCCTCCTCCTCCTCCTCCTCTTCCTCCACCTCCTCTTCATCCCGAACGGCATCTCGGAGCCCAGAGCTGCGAGGATGTCTCCAGCGTAACGGCCTGGACCACCTCGCGCGCGGCATCTCGGACCCCAGAATTGCCACGATGTCTCGGGCGAAACGTGCTGCGAGGAAGTCTCAGGCGAAACGGGCCGGACCACCTCGAGCGCGGCGTCTCAGAGCTCCGAGTTGCGGGGGCCTCCTGGGGCCTCCTGGGGCCTCATGGGGACCTCCTGGGGTTTCCTCCTGGGCCTCCTGTGGCCTCCTGGACCCCACCTGGGGCTTCCTGAACCTTCTTGGGGCTCCCAGGGGGGATATCTGACATGTGGCCGTCTGGGCCCCCCAAAGGGGAGGGGGGGGAGCACAAGAACAGGAAAAATCAACAAATCGACACCGGATGTGTATTAACTTGACACGTGCTGATAGCCACTTGTCGGGCCGCATCGAACTGTAAGGCGCCCAGTGCCCGAAACCTGACGCAAACGCCCGGTGGTGGGCCGCATCGAGCCCGAACCCCTACAGATGGCCTTCTTGGAAGCATCCAACATGCCGTGGGCAAAGCATCAACAGACCAACAACAATACCACCAGCGCCAGCGACCATACGCAGAGAGACGC